ATATATGTACATACGGCGTCTGATAATTAAGGATAAAACTCTCACATAGGGGCAGAATGAACTAAACTGAGTAAAAAAGTTCCCTAACATTTTGCATTTTTCGTGAGGTGCGCGTTAGTTTATTGTTGCTAGGCACCCCCCCAGCAAACGAGAATGGATTGAAATGGATTGAAATGGATTCAGATTATCAGAAATATTGATTCACAAATGTTAAAATGAATGCTTTTCAATCCTGAATGCATTTTCACTTATTTATAGGAATTGCATGGAGCATATTTCTATGCTTTTCAATCTAAAAATAATATTAGCTTTTTCTGTGCATTGTGAATACTGTTCAATTCAAAATTTTGAATAGGAAATGCAGTTTTTCAATTCAAAATTCTTTGCATCCAATTGAGTCTAATTGAATCCAATTGAATTCAAATAAATCCAAAAAAAGTATTCGCCATTTAAAATACGCATTAGGATAGAACAAAATTTCAATCCATTTTAATCCATTCTCGTTTGCTGGGACGTTATGCCAATGTAACGCTTGTAAACAACGTATCTCAATTTAATTCATTCTGCCGCTTTGCGAGAGTTTTATCGTTAGTTATCAGACACCCTATGCGTGTAATGAATGTGTTTCTCATCAGGGCATCGTTGGAATAGCCGGGGCGATTTCAGTTGGTCTGGTATTTCTGGTCGAACAGCTAGGACCAGTCTTCCAAATAGCTGTAAGTACGCGTGGTATCACCGACGGACCCTCGTTGGGCCTGTTCACGTTAGGAATGCTAGTACCCTGGGCAAACGCGAAAGGCGCGTTATTCGGCGGCTGCGTTGGTCTTGTCAGCATGCTTTGGCTGGTAGGAGGCACTCAATGGTACACCATGCATGACAGAATTAAATATGATTCGTTACCCACGTCGGTGGCTGGTTGCCCGTATCCGTTAAATCAGACTTTTTCAACCACGATAAGGCCTACTTCGATGAACTCTGGCGAGGAACCTATGATACTCTTTCAAATATCCTTCATATATTATATCTTGATAGGAGCGGGAATTGTTGTCATCGTCGGCACTATCGCAAGTTACTTCTTCGGCATAGATCTCGAGGGCGTAGATCCCGATCATATTACACCGATAATGAAAAGGTACGATACTATATATAATATTAGATATTTTCCAATTACAACTTATGTGTACGGACGTTATGTCGAATTATGATGCAATTGTTCGGATTCCGAGTAATGAGTTGAAAATTTAAGAGAAAGTAGCCATCTTCACAATTACAACATACTCAT